GGCGTGGCTACTGGGGTACAGAGGGAAACTGCAGGGGCATGGCTGTGGATGCAGGGGCGTGGCTACTGGGTGCAGAGGGGAACCTCAGGGGCGTGGCTACAGGTGCAGGGCGTGGTTACTGGGTGCAGTGAGGAACCTCAGGGGCGTGGCTACACGGTGCAGAGAAGAACTGCAGGGGTTTCAAGTGGGACCTTCAGGGGCACAGCTACAGGACTGGGGTCAGTCCTGCAGGGGAGCGACTACGGGTACAGAGGGGAACCACAGGAACAAAGCTACGGAGTGCAGGAGGGGAACTGCAGGGGTGTGGCCATGTGGTGCAGGGGTGGACCACAGGGGCATGACGGTGGAGGGAACCACAGGGGTGTGGCTGTGAGCGCTGGGGGTCACCTCAGGGTCTCAGCTACCAGGCTGGGGATAGTGAGAGCTGAGCCTCCTGCCAGGCCTGACATGCCCACAGAGCCCAGGTCCCCCTTGGGATGCCCAGTGTGGCGCTGCGCCCAAAGCACAGGAGACCCGCACATGAGACAGGTCTTGCCTTGGGGCCCACCTGTAACGGTGAGGGTGACACTGCTGGCCTGGGTTCCACAGGCACACGTGTATTCTCCCGCATCCTCCCGGCGCAGGTCCCGCAGGACAAGCTCCACCGTGGGGCCCCGCTGCCGAGGCTCCCTGCGCCCATCAGCCTGCAACTCCAGGCCGCCCTTGCTCCAGACCACGGCGGCATTGGGCTGGGACAGCTCACACCGCAGCGTGACTGAGGTGCCCTCCTCAGCCTGCAGGCTCTGGAGCGGCTCCCTGAATACCACCTGTGGGGCTGAAGGGTGGGCACAGGATCAGCCTCCCAATGGGCATCCCAACAGACAGCGGGACACACTGAAGATGGAAAAGCTGGGCAGATTGGGGTGAGGTGGGAGAGGGACATGAGGTGGGAATTGTCCCTACCACCAGGATGGGCCCCGTGAGGTCATGAGGATGGAGGTCAGTAACCAAAGACACTGGACAGGCGAGCAGACAGGACAGAGTAGGGGAGGGCCTCTGAGAGCCAGTGAAGATGCAAGACACAGAGACAAGGACAGGAACCCATGCACTCCATGTGGCCACACACGGTCTTTACCCCTGACAGTCAGCGTGGCCGATGTCCTCTCCTGCCCGCACACACACGAATACTCCCCAGCATCTGCCACGGCCAGGCCACGGATCTCCAGCTCACACACGGTCCCATCC